GGAATTTATGGGTCACAAGTTGGATATGTTATCACTTGTGTGAACCTCCCATGTATTCCGAGTGAATTAGTTGAGGTTGTTTCTCTCTGTATTTTGTACTCTCATATTTATAGTGGATTGCTCATCTCTTTTGTGGATGTAGGTCAATTGATCGAACCACGTTAAATCTTTGTGTCTTTTGGTATATTTCTCGTTGTCTTCTTACTCGTGGTCTTTTGTGGTTTGCTTTGCTAGCTTTCGCGTTTACACCTGCTGATTTTCAGTCCTAACAAGTGGTATTAGAGCCAAATTCAATGATGAAGTCAAGTTCAGTGGTTCGATAATCGATGATTGAACCAGGTTAGAAAGAGGTGTTCATCTTGGCGGGTGTAGTTCTAGCCGCAACCTTTTTTGACAGTAATGAAGATTTTGTTGGAGAAATTGTTTCAGAGAGTTTCTCTGTATTGAGACATAAATTTTGCAAAGGAGATTATGGAGAGGAGAAGCAAGTTGTTGAAGATTAAGTAAAGAAGGTGAAAAATTTACTTTGTTAGAAATTCAGGCCAAGGGGGAGATTTGTTGGGTTTTATTTTCCCTGATTTCTTACCATAAATAGGTTTTCCTTTTAGGAAAAGGTTTTGGATTGACTAATCCTTTTCTTGCAGGAAAAGGTTTAGGACTCTATAAATAGAGGCATGTTCCTTCTAACTTAATCAGCATTCACAATGTAGTCTTAAGGACTTTGAGAGTTTTGGTTAGAGGGAGAATTTGTGGGTCACAAGCTTGATACGTTATCACTTGTGTGAACCTCCCATGTATTCCGAGTGAATTGGTTGAGGTTGTTTCCCTCTGTATTTTGTACTCTCATGTTTATTGTGGATTGCTCATCTCCTTTGTAGACGTAGGTCGATTGACCGAACAACGTTAAATCTTTGTGTCTTTTGGTATATTTCTCGTTGTCTTCTTACTCGTTGTCTTTTGAGGTTTGCATTGCTAGCTTCCGCGTATACACCTGCTTATTTCCTGTCCTAACAAAAGTTTCATGATCTAAAATAGGGATAATGCACAACTACTCCCTCAGCCTATGCCCAAAATCTCAAAGACACACTTATACTATACTAAGATCCTATTATCCGCCCCCCCCCCTGAACTTATTTTATTAATAATTTTCTAACCCTTTTTGGCCTACGTGACACAATCTTGTGGGTCTGATGCTGGTTGACTTTTTTTCAAGTTAGTGCCACGTACGCCGAAAAGGAGTAGATAATTACTTATAAAATAAGTTCAGAGGGGTAATAAGACCTTAATATAGTAAAAATGTGTCTCTGAGATTTCGGGCATAGGTTGAGGAGGTACTTGAGCATTTTTCCGTGTAAAATATAATGTATTACATACTAAAATAGTTGTATGCATCCCACCAATATATTATGATCAAATTTTCTTTAATTGATTTATGGTCATGTACCAGATATTTTTCATATAATTATTTTGATATGTAATATATAATCAATGAATACACAATGATGCACAAAGATAGTTTCTCCAAAAGATTGAGATATATATTAGTTTATCTAACATAAAGAGGAGTTTAGAAGCAACACAAGAGTTGTAAATACTCCTATTTAATGCTTTTAAGGATAATAGTCCACGACATGCATAAAACATGATAGACTAATTAATTCTAAATAAAATAATCCTTGAAAAGGCGGGAGGATCAAAGAATCAAAATGATCATAATAAGGATACAATGTGCTCTTGAAGAGCTTATGACATAACACTTTTTGAAACCTCATGAGAGGGATAGCTACCTTAAAATAATGAAGTCGTGAGATCTCAATAAGTTATGTCGTGTGGTAAATCGATACGAAATGATATATCATTGACGATATCTTTGATACAATAGCACGCAATATTATAAAAGATTATGATGATATAGATTTTATGAATATTAAAGCATGTTGGTGTAGATAATTATCAAGTGAAAAGTGAAATGATGCATCTTGGTAAGCTTAAAGTTTATTTGACTGCAATCTAGGCACTAGAAGATGTCATACTTTAATATCAAATATTGTCACTTGACAAAATTGGTATGAAAATATTCGATGAATTCAAAATCTAAAAAATATACAAGTGTTTGGGAAACTTGTTTATAGTCCTCGTATATAGATTAATGCAATCAAGAATTTGTTTTATTGTTATGCAAGTTAATGGTTGAATTGAATCTCTTGAAGAGTTTTCGAAAGACAATAGATTATTTGCTTAAATAAGTTGAAGTGAGGAATTTGAAGAATTTTTTTATCTTGAAGGAGGATCCATAAAAGGATATAGAAAGAAACATATTTTGTCAAATCTTTTCTACAAACAAGAGCTCCCAAGAACGGTGACATCAACCTACATCAACTTTGTTTAAGTAATGCTATAGTTGATTTATTCACCAAGTCTCCACCAATTACAACTTTCAAGAAGATGGCGCACAAGCTTGGAAAACAAAGCTCTGGATTGATGTTCTCATTATGGGAAATTGATACGTGATATACTCATTTTTCCTCACAAAATTTTGTCCCATTGGATTGTCCTTGTAAGGTTTTTAATGAGGCATCCATAATGTGTACTATTAGATATGTGTACTCGTTTTTCTTCACTAGATTTTTTTCCCAATGAATTTTATCTAGTAAGGTTTTAACGAGGCACATAATCTACCGACATTCGAGGGAAGGGGGTGTTATAAACATATTTGTATTATAGTGAATGTCTAATTATGTGAATTACTTTTAAGTAGGGGCGGATTTGTATATATATAAGGTCTGTCCTGTCACACGGCTTCGTTGAAATTTTTTACTACATATATAAAATATTAAAAAACAGTATTGAAGGATTAGAATAACTAGAAGGGTATCCCTTACATAAGATTGCTCCTAGCGCAAATGGCAGGGGCGCTACATTACATGCGTTGCGACCCGGTTTTGACCCCTTGTTAGGTTAATTTTTGGCCTTTTTTCAGCTTTTGTTTTCTTCTATCTTAATATTTGCTTCCCCCCCCCCCCCCCCCAAAGTTTTATAATATTTTACTTTTTATAATTTTTTGTTTTAAATTTTTCAGCTTTTTTTTTCCTTCTCTCTAATTTTTGCTTTTTTTTCCAGTCTTATAATATTTTTCTTTTTATATTTTTTTGTTTTAATTCAAAATAATAGGAAGGTCCTTTCGTAAAAAATCTACCGATCTACTCTATTCATTCAAAATTTAATTACTTTTTAAATTTTTTCTTTTAAATACTATACAAAATCTTTGAGTCTTTTACGAATTAGAATTATAGTTAAATAAAAATAAGGTTACTCCTTAAATCCTTATATTTGTATATTTACTTCTAAGTTGTTTATTTTTCTTTCCTTTCATGTTCATACATTTTTGTTATTTGGCATCTTGAATCTCCATATCGTGTTAGTATTTTCTTTGCTATATTATTTATTTATTTATTATGTCTTAAATTTTTACTTTTACTTGTTCATAATAATTATTTTATTTTTTTCTCGTTGCAATCCTCTACTATTTCATCCTCAATAACTAATTGTGCAGATTACATCATATGCACGAAGAGCTATTATTCTAAAACAAACTACAAACGTCAATAAATATAATTTAATCAAAAAAAATTATTTTTAAGAAAAATATATTTTCACAAAGTTCACTTTCAATGGGCCTCAAATTTTTGTAGATCTAAAGCAAAAACATCATTGATTTTCTTCTTGATCCATTCTTATTCCTTAAATAGTGGCACTGGTTTGAAAAAATTCTGTTTACGCCACTGCTTTTAGGATATGGTTAGGAATCCTAGTTGAAGACAAAATTAAATTTCTCCTCTAAAAATTTATTTACGCTTCAAAGCAACAAACAATATGCTTGGTTTCTCATAATTAACTTTCATCCATTCTGAAATCTCTTCACTCTTGAGAATTGTTCTTGCACAAGCTTCTTCTCCTATTTTACTTCCAAAATGATTGATTATAACTCCTTCTAAAGAACTTCTTAAACTCATCATTAAAGTCTTTGCATCAGCCTCATCGACAAGATTTGATTTGATATTTATCAACTCCATTCTCTCAATGCTAAAAAGTCCATTCTTTCTCACTACTTTAGTCATGTCTTGAGGAGAGGGATAATACAATGCAAATTGAATGAGTCAACTAGAGATTCATCTAGCTTTCCCTATGACAAAAGGAAAGAAACAATATCAATTACAAATGTATTGTTGAACGTTGTTTCAATTTATGTAAACATATTTTCTTTTTAATCTATTTAAAAGGTGTTTGTCATATTTTATATCTTAAATACCAACTAAAGTGATTATCATAATACACATGCTCAAACTAAACCCAAAGGAAAAACATTGTCATATAAAATGAAATCCAGATTACCTCATTAGCCAAATCCATAAGACTAGAACCAAAAAATTTCAGCAGACGTATATAACCTGAAAATGCTGTGATAAGCACCATCATGCCTCCTTGAACAATCTCCTCAGCTCTAACATTAAAGAATATTTCCATGTCCTTTTCAAATTGAGCAAAATAAGCATTCACTACTTCAACATTTGATGCACCAACATAGTGAATCAAACCCTTGTTCCATGCTGGGGATTTCTCATCTACCAATTCTTTTGGAATCTTGGATAACCAATTTATACCAGAAGAAGAATGTACAAAATGTATAGATCGCGATGGAAATAACCTACCATAAAAAGATCCTGGAACTCCATATGCATAGTAGGATCGATCAAAGGGTAGTGAACGGAAGAGGATATTGAAATTATTAGTGACATGATTGTTGAAGAATATTTGAAATTCAGGAATATTATTAGTGAAATTTATGTCTTGGTCTTGATATAATAAATACTTGTCCTTTAGAGCTTCAACAATATACTGCATTGCGCTAAAAGTATTTGGTCCAACAGAACATCCCAACTCTGTAATATGGAATGTGTTTGAAGAAGATAATATAGTCTTGATGTCAAGCTTTTGAATAATTGCATCTATCACCATCTCCTTTGCACCATCTATCATTTCTTTCTGCATAGTCACATTTATAGAAAAGTTCAGTTACTTTAATATATGACGATAAAAATATATATGTATGTTTGTGTTATTATAACATGTAAAGTTATGTTACTTATTTTACTATTATGGTGGGTAAACTACAACCAATATAGTGTGATATAAGATTGTGTTTTACTATACTATATGGCTCATTAATATCAAATGTTTACTACCATGCCAAAAGTTTTAGCTAATAATTAATATGGATTCAACTTTATTTATTAACTAAGATCAAGTAGACATCACATTCTACCATAACTCCTGTTAGGAAAACACAGATAAACACAAAAATATATATGATAAAAGTAAAGGAAATAAAATGGGAAAATAACGACACCAATACTTCTATTTTTCTTGTATAGTCTATGGAATCACTTTGCTCTCAAAATAGTTTTTCTCTCTAGCTTAGTGTGTTCTACAAATGAGCAAGAATGCTCTATTTATAGAAGGATAAAATCATGCTTATGTCACTTATGACATAGGTAAATATAGCAAAGTAAAAAATGGTTGCAAATCTTATCAATTTGTCAACAACCAAATCTTTTATTTTCAACTTCAATTATTATTCCTTTTTAACATTTGCTTATAGAAACTGAATAGCTAAAGTTGACCAAAAAATGGGATGGATTCAACAAATCTCCCCCTCCAGTCTCATTTACAGGAAGAAGATATCTTCATCTTCTTTAGAGAGAGCTCATACCCACAAGTTCTTTGCATAACTCGAACTTGTCTTTCGATATCGTCTTGGTCAGCATATCTGCAGGATTTTCACTTGTGTGAATCTTTTTGACGTGAAATGATTCACTCTCCACTTCCTTACGAATCCAATGATATCTGACGTCGATGTGTTTTGTTCTTGCATGGTACATAGAGTTCTTTCTCAAGTCTGTTGCACTCTGGCTTTCTAGACAATATACTCCATCTGATTCAAATCAAGCTCTTGAAGAAATCGCTTTAGCCATATCATCTCCTTTCCAGCTTCAGTAGCAGCAATATACTCAGCTTCAGTTGTAGATAGTGCAACACACTTCTGCAACTTTGACTGCCATGGTATAGCTCCCACTGAAAAAATAAACAAATATCCAGTATTGGATTTTTCGTTATCAAGGCCACCTGCCATATCAGAATCTGTATAGCCTTTCAAGATTGGATTTGATGCTCCAAAACACATTCATCTGAGCTTCCTCTAAGATACCTGAGTATTTACTTCACAGCTTTTCAATGCTCTTTTCCCAGATTTTTGAGAAATTTGATGACAACACCAACTCTGTGAGCAATATCAGGTCTAGTGCACACCATTTCATACATAAGACTTCCAACGACAGAGGAATATGGAACTTTGGTCGTGCTCTCTTTTTCCTCCCTAGCTATAGGATACATTTTCTTGCTCAACTTCATATGACCAGCAAGAGGTGTAGTAATAAGCTTAGCATTCTTCATGTTGAAAATATCCAGTACACGTTCAATGTACTTTTTCTGGGACAAATAAATCTTCCTATCATTCCTGAGATGAGTAATTCTCATGCCCAAAATTTGTTTGGCATGACCGAAGTCTTTCATAGAAAAAGAGTTAAATAAATCCTTATTCAGCTCGTCAATCTTGGAAGTATTCTTGCCCACAATCAACCTATCATCCACATTTAGCAAGAGGATGATAAAATCATTGTCCGAAAATTTTTGTACAAAGACCCAATGAGTTGAAAAAGTCTTCTTATAGTGCTCCCCCATAACAGATTCAAACTTCTTGTACCACTGTCTGAAAGCTTGTTTTAGGTCATAAAGACTCTTTTTGAGTTTGCACACAAAATTTTCTTTACCTTCTAGTTTGAAGCCCTCAGGTTGTTCCATATAAATCTCTTCATCTAGGTCACCATGAAGGAAAATCGTCTTCATATCCATCTGCTCAATCTCTAAATTAATACTAGCAGCGAAACCTAAAACTGTGTGAATCGAAGATATTTTCACAACAGGATAAAATATTTCATCAAAGTCAATAACCTTTGTTTGACCAAATCCCTTAACAATGAATCTAGCTTTGTACCTGGGCTTCAAGTTGTGTTCTTCAACTTTAACTTTGAATACCCACTTGTTCTTCAAAGCTCTCATGTACTTAGGCAATTTTACCAACTTATAAGTGTGGTTCTCATGCAGCGACTTCATCTCATTTTGCATGGCTTCAATCCATTGATTCTTGTGTTTATCTTCCATGGCCTTCTCATAACATTCAGGTTCTCCCCCGTCAGTGAATAACACATTCTCATTGGGTGAATAACGGGAGGAAGAAAACCACTGTCTTGCGGACCTTCGAGGTGAAGTATTCGATTCGTCCACAACTTCATGAGCAACAGGATCATCAATAACAATATAATTTTTATTATCAACATCAACATCTTGATTAGATACATGATTCTGGGCACCACCATGATTATCAAGCCCAACAACATCATGCACACTTGTGTGAGGAACTTCATCATGATGAACTATACCATCAAAACTTGAAGATTCTACCTTCTCCGCTTTGTCAATATATTCAATTGTTTGATTCTCCATGAAAATAATATCACGGCTTCTCACAAAAAAAATTTCAATTGGATCATATAGCCTGTAACCAAATTCATCTAGGCCATATCCAATGAAGATACATTGCCTTGTATTGGCATCTAACTTTGACCTTTCATATTTCGACACATGTACAAAAGCTTTGCAACCAAATACTTTCAAATGTTCATAGGAAACATCCTTTTCGTACCAAACACTATTTGGTACATTACTTCGCAAAGCAACAACAGGAGATAGATTAATAACATGTGCAGCGGTCAATAAAGCCTTATCCCAAAATGAGTTCGACAACTTTGCTTCAAAAAGCAAACATCTAACTCTTTCCATCAAGGTCGTGTTCATCCTCTCAGCCAAACCATTAAGCTGATAAGTCTTGGGAGGAATTTTCTGGTGTCTAATACCTTGATGCTTGCAGTATTCGTCAAATTGTCCACAATATTCACCACCATTATCACTATGAATACATTTAAGTTTCCTTCCAGTTTCTCTTTCAACTAAAGCCTGAAACTGCTTGAAGACACCTAACACTTGGTCTTTAGTCTTCAACATATAGACCCAAAGTTTTCTAGAGCAATCATCAATGAAAGTGACAAAGTAGAGTGCTCCACCCAATGTCTTTGTCTTCATTGGACCACATAAATCAAAGTTTACCAACTCAAGCAACTTTGTCTTTCTCGAAGTGGGGTAGGACTTAAAAGAAACTCTATTTTGTTTACCAGTCAAGCAGTGCTCACACTATTATAATTTAGAAATTTGACAAAAATTTCTTCTTGGCTACAACATTAAGTCCTTTCTTGCTAATGTGGCTAAGTCTCTTGTGCCATAACGTTGAGGAGTTATTGCTCTCAACCGCATTCACCATATCAACACAAACAGATGTCGTAGTCCAGTGTAGATCACGACGTTTGTTACCACGATCCACAACTAAGGAACCCTTAATGAGCTTTCATATTCCATCACTGTTGGTACTAATAAATCCTTCATCATTTAAAACACCAATAGAAATTAGGTGCAGACGAACATCAGGAGCATGTGTCACATTGTTCAAAACTAGTTTATTCCAACACTAGTTTCCAAACAAATTGTATCAATACCAACCACCTTAGAAACAGTCTCATTACCCATACTCAAGGTTCCAAAATCACCAGGAGTATAAGAGGAGAAAAAATCCTTCCTTGATGTTACATGAGATGCGGGACCAGTTTCCACAATCCAGCTTGACTCATTACAAGCAATATTTATCATATCCCCATCAAGGACGGTAACAAGATCTTCGGTGGTAACGGTGGCTAGGCCATTTTATTGCCATCTTTCTTAGTTTCCTGTATGTTTTTGTAATCCCTTTTCAACTTCGTGCAGAAGTTCTTTGTGTGCCCTTTCATGCCATAATGATAGCACTCAATATCCTTAAGTCTGCCTCTGAATTTGTTCCTATTTTGTTCTCTATACTGAGACCCACGATTTTGTTTCTCCCCCTGGGGCCAGTTATCAGGGCATCCGGTGAAGAAGAACCTTGAGTTTTTCTTCTTATCTCTTCATTCAAAACACTACTCTTGGCGGAATCCATAAAGATCATAGCATCCGAAACAGAATTTGACGATGAAGTTCTAAATGTTTCCCAAGAGTTTGGTAGGGAACCAAGTAGAAGCAAGCCTTGAATTTCTTCATCAAATTTGATGCCCGTAGTAGATAATTGATTCATGATCCCCTGAAAATTATTTAGATGGTCTGTCATCGGAGAACCATCATGATATTTTAAACTCAACATCTGTTTTACTAAGAACATTTTTTATTGCCAGTCTTACGAGCATACAAACATTCAAGATGCTCCCATAGGGTTCGAGCATGTGTCTCCCCAGAAATATGATTCAACACATTATCATCAACCCATTGCCTAATGAATCCACAAACCTGTCTGTGCAACAGATTCCACTCTTCATCTATTTTAGTATCAGACTTTACAGTGGTAAATACTAGTTTGTAAATATTCTTGACATAAAGAAGATCTTCCATTTTCCCCTTCCAAATGGCATAATTAACACCATTCAAAGTAACCATTCTACTTGTGTTGACTTCCATTGTTTTCCCCAAAAATATTATTATCGCAAATCAAAGTAAAT